AGATCAGGAGGATGCATGTGTAGCAATCTTTGAAGATAGTGGGACACAGTGTTGGCGAAGTGAACGGCTGGGATCCTGGTTTTCATCAGTCTAACAGCACAGTTCCAAATAGTATACAGGACTGGGAGATCAGGAGGATGCATGTGTAGCAATCTTTGAAGATAGTGGGACACAGTGTTGGCGAAGTGAACGGCTGGGATCCTGGTTTTCATCAGTCTAACAGCACAGTTCCAAATAGTATACAGGACTGGGAGATCAGGAGGATGCATGTGTAGCAATCTTTGAAGATAGTGGGACACGGTGTCAGCGGACTGAACAGCTGGGATCCTGGTTTTCATAAATAGAGGTACTTGGTACGATTTGTAGTAAGTAGTGCTGAACCTTTATAACACTTTGGTCAAATCCAAACTACAATATTGAGTCCCATTCTAGTCACCACACTTTAGGAAGGATGTGAAGGTGGAGTACAGTGGAGATGGACCAGATGGAGGATTTTAGCAACAAAGTTGGATTGGAGAAGCTGGGGTTGTTCTCCTTGGAGTAAAGCTAAGATCTCATAGAGGTGTACAAGATCAAGAAAGCTTTGGTCTAAGTACACAATGCAGAACTATTTCCTTTCACTAATTTTTCAAAATCTTGGAGGGGGGAGGAGATGGAGTTGGAAGGGCACATATTTAAGGTTTCTGAGCAAGACATGCAGGGAGAGTTCAGAGGATGAACATTTCTATTCAGTGAGTGATAATTGTAGATTCTAGGGTTAATACAAAAATATGTAAATAGTAAGTACAACATGGAGCTGGAGTAATGTAGCAGGTCAGGCTGGAGCAGGAAAGTTAATGTTTCGGGTTTAAATCCTTCATCAGATCTGGGGAGGGGGAAGGGAGCTCAGAAATAAATCGAGGGAGGGGGTGGGGCTGTTGAAGGTAGGTGGGATGGTGATAGATGGATGCAGGTAGAGGGTAGTGGAGATTGGTCAGTGGAAAGGGTGGGGCGGATAGGTGAGAAAGAAGATGGACAGGTTGTGTCAGATCAAGGAGGCAGGGATGAGAGGGAGGGTTGGACATGGAATGAGGCTGGGGGAAGGGAGATTTTGAAAGTGGCGAATTCTACGTTGTAAGCTCCCGGGGCGGAATATGAGGTGTTGTTCATCCAGTTTGCCAGTGGCGTCATTGTGACAGAGCATCACAATATAGACCTCATGTTAAGTGTAACAGAGTAAATACTTCATATTGAATAATCTTAAACAACCAGCGTAAATGACTGCAATGCACTCAATCCTTTCCAGAACGAAGGCCAGAACAGCAGATTGTTAGAGCTCTTCCTGATTTTTTTTCATTCTCTTCTTTTATGTTTGTTGCTTGGTTTGGGGCTGTGGGCTGTTGGCTGGAAGCTGAGGGGCCTACAGGACTGTGGGCAGTAGACTGTTTTGTAAGGGAGGAAGTAGGCATGCTGTTGTTTGCTCATGGGTCTGGGCCTTGGGGTTGGTTGCAGCTTGCTTCCAGTTAGAGAGTGCCCTATGAATGCTTCAACTCCAGAGAGGTCTTGTGCTTGGGCAGATGGTGGATGTTGCGTGTTGGAGCCTCCTGGGGAGACAGCTGGTCTCGCAGGGGAGAGGCTAGAGGGGTTTGTGGTGGTGGAGTTTGGACTGGTTTTTTGACTGTGTTTGGGTCAGAAGAATTGAGCCTGCGAAAGGTGCAGGACAGAGGTTTGATTACTCCTTGGGTGTCCTAAAAAATCTCAGTTATAAGAATTAAATAAATATTCCTTGAAGCCTAATGGATGCCATGCATTGGTGTCATCAGAAGTCAAGCACAGTGCGGCACAGTGGCTCACTGGTAAGCATTCTTGCCTCACAACGCCAGGGGCCTGAGCTTGAGTCCACTCTCGAACAACTGTCTGTGTGGAGTGCACATTCTTCTGTGTCTGCATAGTTGCCCTCTGGGTGCTCCAGTTTCCTTCCATTGTCAAAAGATGTGCAGTTTAGGTGGATTGACCATGCTAAATTGCCCATACTGTCCAGGGGTGTGCATGATAGGTGGATTGGCTGTGGGAAATCTGGGTTTGCCGAGATGGGGTGGGAATGGGTGGGATAATCTTTCAAGGGTCAGGGTTGGTGAATGGCCTGTTTCACACTGTAGGGATTCTACAATTCTATATAATCCTATATGTCACTGATATTTCAGATTGTGGAGTCTGTTTAAGTGAACTGACCAGTTACACCTCATTTATTTCTTTGTCTTTTGATGTATCTTTTAACTGTTTGTCTGTCTGTCTTTGCGTGTGAGGGGGAGCTGGATTGCTCTGCTAAAGCTTTAGTATTATTAATACATTGTTAAATCTTTACATTATTAACCTGGTGTCTGGCACTGATTATTCAAAAAGTCTGTTAAGGAACCATTGAGGTCAAGTTTGAAGGTCACCGAGTATTTT